TTTATGCTGCTCGTAAAGTAGCCTCGGACCAGCCTGCAGAAAAATTATTAGGTATTTTCTTTCTCAACGGTGATATCAAACGCGGAAGGCTCAAGGTAGGTGTATATATGTATAGATAGGTTATGGTTGAGCCATTTTCACTAGGGGATGAAACAGCTTAGGTATACTTTCTTGAAATATCGATCATAGATTAGAAGTACTTTGAGATAAAGAAAGGATTCATTGTAATTATAAGCATTATGCGAGATTAATAGGATACATTAAACAGCAGTATAATTAGTTGGTGTTACTTAAAGATATCTAGAGAGAAATCATCGTGGTATACTAATCATTGCTATTGCCAGTCATTAGGGTATCGCCATGAATATACATTCAGAACTGCTTCAGCCAATAATTCAGCTGCGAAATGGCCGCATTACAACTGCCAAAGATACCATGGGAATTTCATGGGTTCTCATGATATATGTATACGTCGTGCCCCGTTCGGAATATCATAAGAGGCAGAATGCGATGATCCCACGGTACGGAATCACCTAACTTCAAAATTTGATTAGATTAAGATACATTTACTGATAATACTTAAAGAAATATATAACAGAGATCTTCACATGCATTAATGCCTGTTTTGCAAAAAAAAGTACGTTCTTAACGAAAGGAACAAGCAAAGGAACGTTCTTAGTGAACAGGATATCCTATACTTTAAACTATAATATATTATATGCGAACCTGTCATATGTTATATAGATATTATATAACATCGTTTAATACGCCCATATGATTCCACGTTGCAATATCCAAGCATAATCCATTGGAAACGATCGAGATGCAATCTCGAGGGTACCTCGATTCATTGGGGGAATTTTCGGGGGATGACCCATGACCCCCGAGGGCCATGACGTGGATTTGATTCCTGAAATGCAACCTCGCGCACCCTGTAATCTCGTTTCACTCGTGGGTCCCGCTCTCTCAGACCCGCGAGAGAATATCTATAATTTGAATCTCGAATGAGTATAAGTGGCAGGAAATCACTGTAATTAATATGGTATATCTATATGCGTTCAGGGATCTGTATATACCTTACATTTATATTCCATTACACGCGTATAAGTGACAAAAGAGAGGCTTCGCACTGTTGCAGGGACGATCGTTAGTTAAGAAAAACGACGCCATAGTAACGTTTGGCATACGATCGCAAGGAATGGAAGCCGATAGCGGATACTTATGTATTACACCTTAACTACCAGAGAACAAGAAAGAAGAGAAAAGAAACTTTAATAAAAATTCAAACCGAGTTAAAGTTCTTCGAGAATGTTCGGCTCGCAGAGCTTCCTTACCCGTGCACATAGTCTATATCGTAGATACCTGTGAAACGGGCTTAAAGGCCATAAGCATTACGGACTGCTTTATGTCCCAGTGAAAACGGCAAATTCAACCTTGAATGGCCGTTCCTGTGAGCTCTTTTCATGCTTACTAAGTTTACGACCATTGGTGTACGCTAACGGTTTTAAAGGTGCCCCTTTACACTCGCGAATTTTAGCAGCGTCGTACTTCGGATAACTGTTAAACATTTATGAATATCTTCTTTTAAGTTGCTCCTTTGAACAGAAATTCGAATCTGCATAAACGGGCAAGATATGAAATAAGATAAAGGTAAGAAATGTTTGTTTATCGAAATATACCGGAATTGAGCTTTCAAAATCTTGTGAACGTTCATAAACTGTACAAGGATTATTATACTTTGGAGTTAATAATGGTGAATTTGGAGGACTGTCAGTTCCATAAACAATAAATGTATATACCGTAGAATATCGGGAGACAGAGCGGTGATTATCGTCCATTAAAGGTACCATTTAATTTACTTTTCATTTGTGATAATTCCCTACAGCCCTGGGGTGTACCACTTGTCAATTTGGCAGAGAAATTATCTTCAATTCGGAGCGCCATTACATGCTTTCTTACGGCACTTCGTGGAAAGATCGGGGAGACAAAATGGCCACGCGTACACTTGTATGAATATAGGAAAACGATATTGATCTACTATCGATATATATATATAGCGACGTTGATCAACGATAAACCGGAATGCCTATAACCTGTGTTTCCTCCGTCCCACCTAAGGAAAAGAAATGCCGTGCGTGAACGGCAGTGAGTATAAATTAAATCAGCCTCTTAAACGTCTCATTTAAGACCTCTCTCGTCCTTCCGAATCGCCGCATTGTCGATTCCGATCCTCAAACACGTGTTCCACCGCTTACCATCGTTGGAATTTGCGACGTTAACCTTAGTCGTTAACTTAACGACCAGGGCAGTTACTCTAGTTGGTGCAACCAGGCACGTAACGTTCCATCTATCCATAGCTACAGAATAAGAGCCTATCGTAATGACATCGTCTATACCGACGCACTTTCTGCCCAAGCGCAAACTTGGGATTCCTTTATCCAATTAGAACCCTATGGTTAACGTAGTACAGTGAAAGATTCCAGTATTATATAAGACCACGTATGTTTCTATGTAAAATCATACCATCCTTTCTACACTGTACTGTACCTATCGCTCTAATATACAGTGGGAAGAAGCTTGTACCGTATAAGACGCGAATCGTAGGGATGTTATTGAGACGTCAAGTCTGACTGTCTCAGAATAGAACATTATTCATCCATTACCGTGCGTAACATTTTTCTGCACAATTGCATATTTCTGGCTGATTATTTCTACGTTGCGATTACATACTTGCATGGGTTCCACAATAATTGACCAGTGTGTTTCTCTTGATTGTGCTGCGGTGCATTAAACTACCGCAGTCAACAACGTACGGAATGTAATTTACGACGTTACAGCATTTACAAGGATTTGCCACGGTGATATCGTTGATGTTGCTTGTCGTCAGTTCTTTAAATAGTGCCTATGGGGATTTAACAAAGGGAGTCATCAGACCACCAGCTGACACCGGTTATTAAAATTATTTTTTGTTTCTTATGTGAAAGAGCTCCCACAGCTTGCACAGATGTTTTGTCCGCATAAAGAAAAAGGTTTTAAGAGTGCTTGATGAATCTTGAATGCGTTTCGAGGAATTGTATATGGGAATTCGATGAAATCATCGATACCGCTACTCGTCATTGTTCACAGTTTAAGGATAGCTATTTTACTATACATATAACCCTCCACTGTCACGGGGAAACCTTATACTTTATTTTTCACTACGTGGTAATGCGTTCACTACGTGCTATGCGTTGATGCATAACGTATATTTCAAAGGGGCACGAGTCGCGTATGGGACGACCATTAGCCGCATTCAATCACCATTACACGCTTGTGTACTCTATGCGCTTCTTTGAGTCTTAAATCCGCGCGTCCTGGCGAAAATATGGCCCACGAGGCCCCCGTCCGATTCGCCGTACCTAACTCAAGCGCGAAGAATTTTCAGGCATTGTGAATGGCGGACCATCGTACAGAATTATGACGCGGAAGAGCAGTATGATTCACACAGGAGGGTCTTAAGTAATGATTTATCTCGAGGTGTCGAATTTTACGGTATTACAATATCACGGTTCAAATTGCAATATAAGTAATCTGACTCGCATACGAGTGTTATTTTCGAAATAAGTAATTGATAATTTGATACAGGAATAACGAAGAAATTAAATGATTGGCTCACTAAGAGAATATAACTGGAATTGGACACGTTGATCCTGAATTAATTATAAGGTCTCTATGGTTACGTAGGGGTCCAAAGTTCGTGGGCCAGTTCGCTTCATTACACGGATCTCATGGGCCATAAGTATTTTGGGGCGGGTAGACCGACAGATTGCCGTGCTTAAGCCTGAGGGCCTTACAAGGTTCCCAAGAGGGTCAGAGGTCGTAGGGCCCTCCTCCTACCTTATTTCTTTGGCTCCCTTCCAGCCCTTGAACCTTCACTGCCTTTAGATCCACCTCCACATATTCGCTTCCAATTTCTTTAGTACGCCCGACCGAGCAGAATGCCCTCGAGGTCTATCCACTAGCTATGGAAATTCAAGGAACGTTGTGTAATCCTCCAGTGGAGGAGCTTTTTGCACGCACCAGCTGTAGATTAACAATCCTCTGCAAGGAACTCTTGGAATTATTCAAGACTTGTGAGAAACTCATAATTCCGACGTGGTATTTAGCAAGAGTGCATTCTTCAAGGAACTTTGAGGTGATCCGATTTAAACGTCTTCCAAAAAGAGAAGACTTTATCGACTTGCACAAGGCTGAAGATCGGATGTACTTACTATCAATCGGATACCTCGTACTTGTGGTTAGGTGGGAAGGTTCGTTACAAATTCCTGAATATTCATCATCCACCTCTTCGCATTCCAGGCTCTTCATTCAGTTTCTACTAAGGCATTGCATTCCCTACCATCACACATATGGTACGAGCCACGAGGCTCGAACATGCGGTACGCGCGAATACTTACTTCAAGTAAGCAGTTTGGACTCTAGGAAATGTATTGGACATGCAGAACCGTATCGGATCCACGAGCCAAGGTGTCTATTAACCTTGAACTACCCAATGTGGATGAAGAAAACGTGAAAGAATGTTAGATTATTCCTCATTTACCCGCAAATCAAAGCTATTAAAATTGGTAAAGATTCAAGAAGATTGAAAAAGTTTCAAAAGTGATAAAGAACTGTACATATATTGATGCTAACAATTTTTTGGCGTACTGATAATCGATTGGATAGATGATTATTGCACGGTACTGGTATTTGGAAGGGTACTAGGCGATAGACACTTATCCACTCGATTCACTGAGTAAGGTACAATACCCCAGAGGATGGTAGATGCCAATTATTCGAAGAGAACCGTGTTTAAAATAAGCAGCGGCTCCCCTCCATTTTGGTACCTCTTGGTACCTAACAATTACCTTCTTCGCCAATTGTGATTGGCCACGGTGTTTGCGCGGGAACGTGGGGCCAATGAAGGCACCTTGTGCCTCTCTCTTCGCCTAGAGTCTTGCATCCAACAACTCCACTTCATCCTTTAGTCTAGTCACAGCTGCACCTGTGAGTGAACCTGTATTCCTCATCGAAACCTGGTCCTCGATTGAAAACAACAAAGCATCCCTGCATCTTGATAGATCAGCATCATCTTTCAAAGAATCCTTGTGCGCGAATCATGACTACATAGTCAAGAGGATATCGTTAACAAGATTTTTCAGTTTTTAAAGCTCCATTTTTCACTTATGACAAAAATTTCTAAATAAAGTTGTAACATAAAATTTTTTGGAATTTTTTGAAGGAAACGTGATAACTTAAATATTCAAATGAGAATCACCAACAGGAAACACAGTTGAAATAAGAAATTTGAAAATGAAAGTAAAACGAGGTGTAATTGATGTTACAAAATTTACAAGAGACTCAATAAAACTTTATCAAAACGAAGAAGCTTCTCGAGGAATTGTCTTGTGTGTGACATAGAGAGTGGTTCCTGGAGTACGTGCACGTGTCCAGCGTGGACATTCTGTCGCGTGTCTCGGCGAAGTTGTCACTGAGCTTGTCACGTGTCGACACGTGACTCTATGTGATCGGCGTACTGTAAAAAGGCGAGGATCTCGAGAGGGCAGCTAAGGTCTTAACACCTCGATGACGCTATGAGGATCCAGTCGATGATTGAAAATGACAGGAGTAGCGGTCATCGAACACGATCGAATCGATCGGATGATCGGCACGTCGAAGTCGTGGAGTCTTCTCCACGTAACATCAGGATGATCCATCGATTCGCACAAAGTGATAACTAACGGGACTTTCCGATCTCGAATCTCCGTGTCATTGGCACCAATCAACGATACTTTGATTCAGGTAAATCCAATTTGGATTAAATTCACCAGGCATCGTATCTCGTTCTTTCGATCCATCCTTTCGATCTAGACTTTGGCATTTATATCACCATTTGAATCTTCCTATAACAGAAGGTCGTAACTCTTGCAGAACGCGTGTCAAATTGGCATTCATTACGTTTTATAGCTGCTGGACCACTGTATGAACGAAACACTCAAATTCTCTCTTGTCTCTTTTCTTCAAGTTTCTTTCTTGCAAGGTATTCACAATATTATTATAGCAAATATATTGCTGTTGTCCTTCCAACTGTATTGGAGTACAATGCTAACTTAATACCCTGCTCGTGCTTTAGACGGAAGTACATTACAAGTTCATGTAAATATTCTTATTCAATTATATGTATATGTATAATCGACTGAAGATAAATTTTTTATTGTTACCCTTGATTCCAAAATTTTTTTAATTGCTGTCAATAACTCATAGTACTGAACCAATCTGTCATACTGGAGAAAACGTGATTAGTATTAAGCGAGCTTTAATAAGATCGGAGAAGTTAATACGCTTCGTATAGATTCTATAGTTTCTCTGAATTCAATATTTTGGAAAATTATCCAAGATATTTCGTAAGATAAAATTTTCAAAATTGTCGCTGTTGTGTATTACTGGCAACAGGAAAAGTCCCGTAGACAACTATCGATAGCAGACTAGAGTAAGCGATGCAAAAAGTAGTAACAGCCAGTTTTGTCAGACACGCTCGAGTTGGGAAGGCGCATTAAGCCGCGCTCGCAGAGATGAATGATAGCGACAAACTTAATTAACCCGACCCAATTAAATCCGATGGCTCTTAATCGCCGCCAATAAAATCACGATTATAGAGACATATGTTCGTGGCTTTTTCGTGCTTCTTGTATCGACGGTGAAAGGCAACCGCCTCTTGTATCAGAACAAGAATTACCTGGCAGTAGAGCACTCAGTAAATCCTTTCTGTACGGTACGACAATAATTATTTACAATTAGTAGCAAGCATCGGATATGTATAAAAAAGATACAATCATTGCAGTAAATACCTTCTTATCTTTTCATTTGCAGGGGACCTGAAGAGGCGGCATTCGTGGAGCAGCGAGGTCGACTTTCAGCCAGCGGAAACGGAAGCTGAAAGTACGTCAGCACCGAATTCTCCTCCATTTCCAACCCAAGAAGAGGATCGTATTTCCTACAAGGTTACTAAAATTATTCTTTAATTATGTAGATATTTAAAGATATAACATTATTCCCTTAAACAACTAAGTTCTAACCAATAAGGACTCTGTCTGTGTTGTGAGAGACTGTACTATTATACAAGTACAATATTTTATCTTGACGAAACACCTGTTTACGAGTTTGCAGCTTTATGCAGGCGTTTGCGGTGTTATCCAGCCAACAAGCGGAAAGGCACGATTGCTTTTTATCCTTTCTTCCATTCCTGATTCTCTCACTCGCTCTGCTCTCTGCGGAGGAGAACCAAACTGAAAGCGAGAAGGAATCCTACAAAAACTGGTTCCTCCTAAGCATTGCACGAGAATCTGAACGCGCAAGTCTCTCCACCTGAGAACCTATTGGTCAATGCGAATGCACCTGTAGACTCAAGTACCACTTGTTTGCGTGCTCTCAATCGAAATTGTATTTCATAATAGCGAATCCTAGAGACACAGATGTAAAGATAGTTTGTATATCTTAAAAAGGTTTTAAGTTTCTCCAGAAATATTCTTTCCTTAATATCGGAATGTAATTCCGTAAGGTAACAGCCACAACTTCAAGGCCTGGCGCAATATTGAACCCGGTTGCTATAAAACTGCAGAAAGGAACGAGAGACTCTTCGGTAGCGCTGTATACAAAATAGCAGAATGTAGTCAGTGCTTGCCGTTTAAGTGGCTTATTTTAATAATAATGGCACAGCAATCACGAGGAGGAATATTTTAACTCCGAGCAGTAAGATACTTCTCCTTAGACGTTTCCCGGAGGTGAATTTCCTAGAGATGTGCCGGAGGTTCTGCATACTTTGTATGTCGTGATATTCGCTTTTCCCTTGTGTTGCTCGGATCTGCCCAGGAACAAAGAAGTTAAGTGATCATATAAATTTCTCATCCCATAAAATGAGCAATTTCAGGAATTCCTTGAAAGGAAAGTATTACTTACTCGAGAAGGATACATTTTATTTCAATCAAAGGTACCTGATTCGGCTTCATACAAAAAGTTTGTTTTAAATAAAATTATTATTTATTTCCTGAAGCATATCATATGCTCTTTAGGGCCTTTTTCGCGGAATGAGAACTATGGGCATGATTCGGCTCGTCTAGTTTGTTCAAAATAAAAATTTATGAATTTTTATTCTTCATAGTAATAATACTCGGATAACAAGTGCGATTTTTAGTTAATGGTTAATCTTAACAACAACAAAAATTCTTATGATCCGAGGCGGATTGTTATTGTGAATGTTGATGTCTAATTTGAAGTCGATCGGATAAAATATTAAGAAGTTTGGATACTCTAGATTTCAGAAAATGTTGTTTTCAGATAAACGCGTTAAGAGTTTAATTATGCCGACCTGATCGCGTTAAAGCAGCTACTGCACAGCAGGTACCTTAGTTATTTTATTCAAACGGCTGTAATTTCGGAAATAATTCGAATTTCGAATTTTAGTCTATCCAAAATATTCTGAAAAAAATGTATCCTTGAAAATAGGAAAACAAATTTCTTTGTAAAATGAGAATCGTATACGACCCTTTAAAACTGCAGCTGGAAATCGCAGCGTAGAAAAGTAGAACGCCTCGTAGATGGCTTTATGCATGTCCTTGGTAGAATTTTACGACTTTGCACAGTTTGTGTGCCGCCAGTGGATTGCAGCAAGCTGCAATGCATTGCGGACGGAATGTGGCTTCGCTTCACATATTATGGCTCCGACCGTTTTTGAACGTTAGAACGAATAAAGGTAATCACGAAAGGAAATAAAACAAGAGACAAAGGGCCAACAAGAGAAGGAATACTTCTCGAGTCTAAGTGTAAAAGCGTCCTTTTGCTACTTTGTTTTCCTATTACTGCATACCGTAATGTCTTTCTATTTTTCTCTCCCCCACGCTATCGCCTGCACTTTTTGTTTGAGGTAATATGTACGTTGTAAATGAAATAAGAGAAGGGATACGGTATACGAGTATACACTCGAACCACTAACCAACGCGCTGAATAGACAGATCAAAATAAAAAAAAAAAGATAAAAGTAAAAATGTATTCAGTTCATTGGTTTGGAATTATTATGCTTCGGACTCGCGCGTTAAATTATCAATGCGGAGTTAGGTTATGAACGTTAATTACTGGCTGTACGCGATATGGTCGTGCGTTGGATAATTTATGTGACGAAATCGAACTTCTTCATATTATTAGTTATGTAACAGTGTAACCCATAGCACGTGTTCCTGGTATTATTCGAAAGGGCATAAATAAATAAACGACTTGCAATTCTCTCGTGCGAACATCAAAGCTCTATTGCTGTTTTCAACTCTCGCTCGCAAATCAGCTCGTAACTTGTGAGTAAATTCCACAATTCCCAATGAACTCCTGTAATTAGTAAACCTTCCTAGGATTACCTTACGAAAGTAAAGTTCTTTGCTAGGTATTCGTTACGTGCGTAGGCACGCAAATTCTATATGAAATCATGCATTTAAGTATCATGGAAACGAAAAGTCCAGCAGAAAATGTCGTCCGTTAAATGGGTGGCACTGACAGAACGCACGTATTTTTAAGTAATCGTGTGAACCGGTGAAAACTAGTCACGCGGGATCGCTAATCGAAAAATATTAATTGCTTTAATTAAACAAAAAAACATTAAAAATTGCACTAATCTAAAAGATAATTGTCCTGATTCCTGAATTAGTGAACTTTACCATTTTTTTTCACTAAATATTTGTTTATTTTGATTTTTATGACAGAAACTCAAACAAACAAAAAATGATTAGGACGTCGTAAATCGTATGCTTCATGCATTGAGTTACGAGGTCTCGCGTTTAATTTTTTTTACAAAATATAGCAATTTAAAGCGACGTTTGGATGTAAAAGATCTTCCGCGGTCTACTTACAGGTTAAAAAGGTGTTAAGTATTGACATGCGGATGATTATATTATAATATATTTTATACCTTATATCTAGAAGCTGATTTTGTTATAAATATTAGAAATATGAATGTATCCTATTGAAGTTTTATCATTATTGATGAGTCGTTCAGGTGAAATATTTCTGGAAAAGACATTGAATACACGTAGTTCACAAAGTATTACGACGCAGGTATAAAAAGACGAAAGCCTATAACGCGTGTAACCTTTAAATCAATCACGTAGTCCCTCGGCTATTTTATTCTCACGCGGTGTAGTATCGCCGATAAAATCCATGACCTTTATACTACAGGTACCTACGTAAGTACAAGATCCAGTCATGCGCGACTTGCACCCCCATGCAAGCAGTATCGGCAACAAATAGATCGACATCTTGTAAGAGTAAATAACAGTTCCGAGCTGTAAATCAGCCTGTTTGCTTCCACGAGTCTTGGGTACTATATACATATGTACAGTAAGGTTAGCAATAGTCCTATGCAGGCGAAATGGTTACAGCCAATGTCTATTATTTATAAGAATCCTGAAACATTATCAGCGATACCTTAGAAAATCGTCGCAGTATCCTATCCAATAGGCACCTAAGGGTTTTTCCATGCTGTATAATAGAAAATGATTTTAGATAGGCGTGAAGAATAAATTAATCGAGACTCACGAGACTCTCGTAACATCAAGCCAGTATAGTCCAGGTATGGTACCCGTACATGTTTTTTCGAAAGACCCTTTTTATAAGTTGGACGTTGGTAATTAAAAAAAACAGGTAATGAATCCCTGACTCCTGGACGGCGATTTGCTGGCTACGTTCATTCCTTCATATACATATAACAACCCAGTATCTAAGTTGCTCGTAACGTCTTTATAGGTATAGATCGGTATTTCTTTATAAATCGTAAGAGACATATACATATACATATACATATACATATACTGGGTGTTTCGAATATCCCATATTTTGTTTAAATACCTCCAACACAACATTAATGCCGTTCTTCATGACAGATTAAAAAAACAATCAATAGGGATACGCTAGCTTCGTTTTTCAGTGGTTTCATGGAAATTGATACGCGGTAACCCCAGTAGATAGGATCGCGCCGTGAGCAAGGAAGTAAACTAATGCCTCGTGCACAGTGGCAAACCAGATACATATCTTGAGAATTTCATTAGCATGATCCTGAGCTTGCTCTTGGTTTCTCGCACCCCTTTCTTCTTAACTTGTCACCCGGGGCTACATGGCGTGCCTCTCGCACTCGACCTGGTGGAACACGTTTCTTATTTAGCACAATGAAAGAAGCGCCTGATGATCGGTTTACTTACGGTGGATGGCTTATCGATTACGTAGTATCAGGAGTGGCGCTTATTATCTTAGGACATTTTTTTTGTAGTACCTATTGAGAACGCGATAGCATCTAATGAGCCTGAAGTCCAGGTTGTTTGACCTGGTCCACGATGAGGAGCGTTTGAAAACATGTAAGCGATATCCTGGTCGTCGACGTCACTCCGTGAATGATTACGCCATTACTGGAAGTAATCATGCCGCCTGGTTAAATTATATACAGTTATCCGTCAATGTTTGATTGGGCGCACTGAACTTTTGTATAATTAACTTGATCTTGAGGAACCGATCAAACGATGAGGGTCGTGTGTCGTTCTTTGTTTGGTGATGGATCGATGGAAGTGGCTACAAATATTACACTATGAATGATATGCGGTAAAAGATATATTTGTTTTTGAGAAAAAGTTTGAGAATGACATGTAAAATATTGCGGCGAATATATGCTTTGGGGTTAAAGTGTAAAGTTTATAAAGAACGGTGACCTTGCGTAAATTAAATCATGGTTAGAACGTATTTATATGACGTGACAGCGATAAATATTCGATATCTCTTGCTCTGTGTTAGTTGCTGTGTTGCTCTGTGTTACTCATGCAACATAGATCAATAGGTGAGTGTCGCTTACTTAATTGAACTCGAGGAATGGATTAATTCTCGTTTAACTTGTAGATACATCACGCGACGGGAATTTATACCGCTATGAATTTGCACTGATTATCGATTACTATCCAGGAAGAAAACCGGTTAATTTATAGCGGAGACTTCCTGCTCTGTATCCTAACAAAGAGTCCTTTTGTATCTTCAAGAGTATTTAATTAATTTTATATTTTGTTAATAACGGTATACTTGATACGACATATTGAATTAGTTAAAATAATACAGGTATCATTTTACAAATAATCTAAGAATTTTTGTATTCAGATAAATTATGGTTAACGTAATTACCATATAGACGTCCTTTTGATTAATGTAATTTTCTAATGATAGTTTGTAATATATGTCTTACATTTATGTCTTTAGGAGAATGGCAGTGCGGTGCAGGCGGTGGACCTGGTGGCGGATTGTCCGCTGCTTATGCTGACACCACCTTCCTCGCCTACCTCATCCATAAGAAGGACGCCGACGCCCACGACGTTCTTGACATCTCTCGGCCCTGCGAAGAGCATGGGTCAACGGCCCAGTACCCTTCTGCGTCCCAAGATCTCTTTGACCTGGGTCCTGAGAGGTCAACAGCATTCTGGTACCAATGTTAGCTCAAGCACGAGTTCAAACGTTAACACAGATAGGGAAGTGTTGTCCAGAGAGGGTAAGGATAGGTCATCGAAGAGAAGTGTGAAGAGTGTGAAAAACGTTAAAGAAAAGGAAAAAGGAAAGGAAAACATTGACAGATTCGTCAAACAGGACAGGCAGCTTCAGAAGGTTGAAAAGATCGACCGAATTGAGAAGGTAAACTTCGTGTAATGAATGAATATATATTAATACCATATAATTCGATAAAGACTTTTTCTTTTTCTCTCATATTTGAATGCAACCCGTGACTCATGTATATTTTCAGCCCATTGACAAAGAAAGGTTAACCGAGAAGTCGAACTGTCTTGTCGAAAAGACTTCGGATAAAGAATTCCCAAAGGACGTCAATAAGGACAAAGAGAAAGTGAAGAGAGCTATTTCAGAACCGACTCTTGTTTCTCGTGATTCCACTTCGACACCAAATGGGAGAGAAAAACATAGACACAGGCGTCCCAAACGACCTCATAAATCTAGACCACCTAGTAGATTTGGATACGAGATTGCTGATCTGGATGCATTTTTAACTAAGGTAGTGATTGGTGATTTTTTTATTTCACATTTCAAGTGGAAATACATGAAATAAGACTTCACCTTATTTACAGGCTTCAATAGAGAGACCAGCTAATATACCGGTTGTATTATCCTTCCCATCTGTGCTGTATCAAACTCAAGGAGGAATTCAGGACGAAGTTGCTCTTCCTCTGGGAACTGTGGTAAACGCAGTCTTTAAAAACCAAGCTTGGCTCTATGTACAAACTCCTCATGGTCAAGAAGGTTACGTCAGTTACGCAGCTTGTCTACCCTTAGGCATTTTACCACAGCCTACACGCGGTCCTTGCTGGGAGAATTCGACTGACGTATTTCCAAGACCACTTGGTTAGTTTTTAAGTTAATCAGAAAGTTTATTCTGTGATTATTATGAAAAACAAATAAGCTATATTTGAATAGGTATGTTATATATTTCGTTTTATTAAAGGTAATATGACGGATACCGAGAAGCTTAGAGATACAAGGTCGGAGTGCGGAGCACGTGGAAGAAATACAAGGGTACGTCGCGGTCCTAGAGACGCGGTTTCTGCATGTGGCGAACGCAGTGTGGACCGACTTTATTTGAGAGCAGCTGCTAATGCCAAGACGAAAGGATCACGATATACTCTTCTTGTAATTAGAAGCGATTATGACGGGGGCCGTGGTGGAAATGCTATAAGTGTCTCCAAAGGTGACGTTGTTGCGTTACTAAGTGATCATGCTAACGAATGGTTTTGGGTGCGTTCTAGAGACGGTAGAGAGGGTTTTATTCCTGCTGTTATTGCTGGTCATGGTTTCTTGTAACTTCACATGGGGTGCTTTCCAATTACACGACTTGTATCGACATATGTCGATAAACGTCTACACACAATGTTTCAGGTCAATTGGAACAGCGCGTGTAGTAAAATGGTTAAAGACCTAGGGACTTTAGTACCTAACAAAATACAGAAAATACTTTTTTACAACAACTTGCATAAAATAATTATTCACCTCTTCAACCATTATTAAAGATATTTGCTTATTGCATTTCGACAAATTCGACACAAGATTTGAATTTCCTACTCTTGGTTTAGTTCATTCGGTTACTTTACACCGTGAACGTAACGCAATTAAAATCCAGGGATAAACACTATATCAGTGTACGCGTTTGTCGACTCGTGTCGTAATTGAAACAACAGTGCGTAGACAATTGTGCACATTTGTCTAGTGATATTTCAATTGGAAAGCACCCATGATTTTCAGATGAATCTCATGAGTGTATTTCCTGTCAGGATTGAGTGTTAAAGACGTATTGTAGAAATTTTATTTTGTAACACTGAATGGTATAACCAAGAATACTACATTGTTGTACATTTGTATAAAATTTTTACATTGTTTACATAAAATGCACTATGTATTAATATATTTATTAAATATTATGAAAACAATATGCCTTTCATCTTATTAGTCCGCTTAAATTAATCCATATTACATGGAACAGGTACATACAAGATATTAATCGAACAATGATCAAGTTATAATGATTATGCAAACTTCAATGTCATCTCTCGATAATTGAAATTAGTACATATATCAATTTTGTTACTTGTACCTGCTATGCTCAATATCTTTTGGGGCTTTTCTTGGTAAATGATATTATAAATTGTATTACTAGATGTTGGTACTTCTGCTAATGTGTCTCCCTGATATGTAAGGTGATGTACATGGGACATGCTACCACCTGTTATTATGCGTTCTTCGTAAATATCTGCAACGTGAATTCCTTGATCTGGTAAATCAAATACAGTAGCTGCTTCCATAGTGCGCATGTGCCACAAAGACAGTTTTGGACCACCACCACAAAGCTGAAAACAACATATAATATTTGTACACTGATATGATTTTGGGAAAAATTTTTCCATTGCATTAATAATCGTGCATACTAGCCAATCTTCAGTGAAATCCAAAGCACCAATCCATTTGCCTAGCCTTGGTCGTGCTATCTTTTCTATAGCATGAGGCTGTAGTACATTTGTATTTTCTTTTTTTCGTAAATCCCATAATCTGACAGTACCATCTTCTGCACCAGATGCCAATTGATTGCCCCTAAAAATAGGAATCATTTGAGTTGAATTAATTGATTTATGTCTCTGTATTCTGTTATGCTTACATTAGAGCAAGACAGTGTATGTAATCCTTGTGACCATCTAATGTCTGCAATATCTTTCCATTGTCCAAATTAATAACATAAATATTGTTGTCACCACATCCAGCATACAGCATATGATTTTCTTTAGAATACACCATGTAGTTCACATCTGGCTTTTCATAACTATCTCTGTAACGTGATAACCATAATAGAAAGACATTAAATGTTTTTATCTAGCAACGTATAATCAATTATTTTATATATAATGGTATCATACTTATTGCTGGGAATTTGCACAGTCCAAGAAGCTTTCATTTTTGGAGCTTTATTTGATGTTACAATCTTCCAATCCCATCCAGAAATTTCTCCAGACGTTCCCGTAACAAGAAAGTTGTCAGTTGCAATTATACTCTCAACATGTTGGTCGGGGTAAGCAGTGAAATGATAATTTGGTCCTCGCAAATTATTTTCTTCACCTTGATAAGGTCCCAATACTTTGGATAAACTATATTTATAAAATAAAGTACAATTGAATAATGAAGCACAAATAATTTATAGAAATAAAAATAAAATTCCTTCAAGAGAACCATAACCTTAACTACATTAATAACAATGTAATATCTTGTAACTTAGTGTTGGGCGTTGTACTTACTCGAATACAGATACATCGCCATAAATATTTCCAGCAAGTAAGTGGCTGCCATTTGGTGAAAAAGTTTGGCAAAGTACGGTATTGTAAAACAATTTCTGGTTTGCATGTCCCGGCATGTTGACACGACTAGCGTTACCGTTTCAAGTTCGATTAATCGAAGAATCAATTTTTTTGAGTATTAGTTAATCGTTTTTTTAAATCGATTCTTTCTGATAGATATTTACTGAATCCAAATGTTTAATTCAAGATCGACTCACATTTTATTTATGTTGTAGTTATGCTACATGTAGAAATAACGGGTATACTAATAAAAATGAAAGTTAAACCCGCGAGAGCGTGTAAAAGAGGTCTGTTCGTTGTGTTTTTACATGGGTCGGAGCACCCCACTTATGTACCTGCGTGAAGTTGGCCGGCCAACTTTTATTTTTTAAACTTTTTTTATTCCAATCGTTTGATAGTCGTTTGAGTGTTTAATAATCTTGTAAAAACGTTTGATAGTCATTAGTCTTTTCAGAAAATCAAAATCAAAATCTGGTGTGAAGTTGGCCGGCCAACTTTTATTTTTTAAACTTTTTTTATTCCAATCGTTTGATAGTCGTTTGAGTGTTTAATAATCTTGTAAAAACGTTTGATAGTCATTAGTCTTTTCAGAAAATCAAAATCAAAATCTGGTGTGAAGTTGGCCGGCACTTTTTTGTTTCTAACCGGATTTTGTTTTTCTGGAACTCAATCGATGCAAAATCGTTTGATAGTTGCGAATAAATTAATAAGAACGTTTGATAGTCCATCGTTTGCAAGAAAAATGAGAAAAACTATATACGAATCAAGGATCCCAATCGATGCGATACAATTGATTCCTCAAACGGTGTGTTCGTTGAATTAGATTATATTGCAAACTTTTTCTACTTCCAATCGTTTGATAGTCGTTCGATAGTGTTTGATAGCAGAGATGAGTAGGGAGATTGCCAATGAGCCTGTTTTTGGTTAGAGATGAGTGGGGAGATGCACAACGTTCCGGTTTTAGGCGATACCAAAAGCATGGCGCTAAATCGTAGCGGCGAGTCCGGGAGTAGGATTTCGTGATCATCGCCTCTGTCGATGTTACAGATTTCGCGTAGCCGCGCGGATTATGATCATCGATCCAGCCGATATTGCAGTCAGCGAAAATGAATGGATTGCTCGGTGGTGGGGAAAAAGTTGCCGCCCCTCACAAACCGTTCTTGACAAACAGGCGGAACAGCAAGGTGTTCCGTCTAACCGAACCCTAAACGTTTGTATGGACGTAATGCGCAAACAAATGTGTATATTAAAATAAATTTGAAAGTTATAATAAATGCATAGAAATATTGGTTTTCACTCTTTACCTCTCATCATGCCGAAAATGAACATTAAACAAAGAATGGCGAAATTCGTTGGTAAATGAAACGACCGAGAACAGTTCAAAGAGAAATTTTGAAATATCATAGATAAATATCTATAATAAATTTAATTTAGTATTAAACGAGCATCGTAGCTGAGTCAATAACCTGTCAAGGTCCCTCTCTTTTAACCTTTCTAGGTTGCCCAAAGTTTATTTTATTCTCTTTTGTTCGTCCACGTGGAGAAGGGTGGTGCAAAAGTTCTTAACCGGAGTGCATCTTCATATTATTCTGCTTATATGTAAAGTAAGCGAAACGATAATAGTAAGCAGTTGAATAAACGATGAAATTCTAGAAATACAACTTCCGAAAAAAGTAAAAGAAACATATGTATCTGACGCCTGGCTAGTGCACCCGGTTACGAATCGGGAGGTCTATGGTTCGAGACCCCTCTATGGAGAGCACTTTCTTCTTTATAACTCCTTTTTACTCATTTTTTATAACTTTGAAATTTATTTGAATATACACATTTGTTAGCGCATTACGTCCATACAAATGTTTAAGGCCTTCACACACAAAACGACGTAACGACTTAACACGTAAGCGTGAGGAAACCAACCAATCAGAATCTAGTACTGTTCCCTCCACTTTTCTCCGTAAGACGTAA